GCGGGGGAAGGGGAATAAGCAGCAATGAGTGAGGGGTAGAAGAGAGAGAAGAGTAGATAATGAATGGGGATGAAGTTTCAGAAGGGAGGAAGAAGAAGCAGCGAATGAAGGTAGCAGGGCAGAACAGAGGAAGGCAATGGTCCGCGATATGTTCAAGAATTTTTTCTGATTTATTGTTGTGACATGTACCTAGGTACAGTGAAAAGTTTTGTTTTGCGTGCAGTACAGGCAGATCATACCATACAAAGTGCATTAGGGTAACAGAACAGAGCCAGGAATACAATGTTACAGCTGCAGGGGAGGTGCACAGAAAGCGAGATCAACTGACTGTGATTAAAGGGAGAAAGGGGAGGCTTGGGGATGGGTTGATTATGACAATCAATAGCAAGCCACGTTTTAAACGTGGTTATAAGGAGAACTCTAGCACTCACCAGCATGAGGTTCAAATAGTAATTTTGTTTTTAAATTTAAGGACCTGATGTTGGGTCACACAATGTCCTAGTTTTCCTGAGTGTAACCTGTTGGCTCAAACACCTCAGGCAAACCAATCTGGGTAAAAGGAATCCTGAAGCAAGTGGGAGGCCCATTTATTTGTATCGGTAAATGTTCGAGGACACTAGATTCCACACTTGTTGCTTGTGCCAATGCGGCAGGTGCTGTCTTCCCAACTCAAGATTCCCAGCACATGCTCCGCTATGGAACCTGTTTCATGACCATGCAACAGGGTCAGTGCCATTGATCTCTGCCCTCACTGGGAAGGAGTCAGATTTGATCCCAGGTCTGTACAGGATCAGCTGGTCACAAAAGAGGTGATGCTGCTGGGTTGGTAGATCTACACAATGGATCGACTGACTGGAGGAAAATGGGGCCTACCTGGATTTTAATGGCAACCTCTCTGCCGTCCTGAAGTTCTCCATGATGCACCTGCCCAATGGAAGCAGCAGCAAACGGCTTTTCCTCGAATTCTGCCAGCTTATCCCGCCAGTGTGGTCCCAGCTCCTCATCCAGCACTTTCTGAGCAAGAGAACATTTGACCCGGTTCATTTAATTCACAAAAAGAACAGACCCATCTCAGCCCACACACTCCAGTTATGACCGTGTGGTCTTTTTTTCCCCTTTACATTTCCCATATTCTTTTATGGGATGTGCTGGTTGCTGCCCATCCCTAGTTGCCCTTGAACTGATTGCCCTCTGAAATGGCCCAGTGAGACAATCAAGAACTGATCACATAGCTGTGGGTCTGCAGTCACGTGTGGGCCAGACCAGGTAAGCACAGCAAGTTTCTTTCCCTAGTGAACCACATAGGAATTTGTGACAATTAATCATTGTCACCATCACGCCAACAATGAAATTAACTTTACATTCCACCATCTGCCTCAATGAGATTGAGCTCCTGTCCCATAGCATAAGCCTGAGCTCTAATAACTAACCAGTGACACTATCAGTTCACCATCATCTCCCCAGTCTCGCTCCTGGGTAACTCCCCTCCTGACTCCCCAAAGCCTGCCCCACCATCTACAAGGCACAAGTCAGGAGTGTGATGGAATACTCCCCACTTGCCTGGATGAGTGCAGCCCCAACAACACAAGAAGTTCAACACCATCCAGGACAAAGCAGCCTCTTGATTGGCACCACATCCACTCTCTCCATCACCGATGCTCAGTAGCGGCAGTGTGTACCATCTACAAGATGCACTGCAGCAACTCACCAAGATCATCAAATGCCAGCACCAAGTCTGCCAGGTTTTGAATTTACAGTGGGGTTCACATCAGACTCTAAGCAAACAGTCAATGGAGTCTATTTAAAGAGAGAGTCTCTATGAGCCACAGTAAATGGAGTTCACAGCTAATACTGCAGCAACTTCTCCTGATTAAAAGCAGGATGACTTCTCTACTAACCAAATATTTTTGAACTGCAGTCACTGATGTAATACAGAGAATGTTAGGAAATACCTAACAACTAAATGCAGTTAGAGGAGGATAGCGGAAGAAGAGGAATGGGAATGGAGAGGTCCGAGCTGCTACGAGCCCACTCACCATCGTCTGCCAGGCTGGCATGAAGTCTGCACTCTGTCGCACCCGCTCAAATATCTTCTGCAGCTGAGGGTTGATGAAACTGCTGTCTGCATGGAGAGAAAATGGAGCATGATTCTCCGAATACAATCACAGCCTACAGGTCAAAAGACTCATCAGTACGCATACTGGAAGATAGGAAAACCAAGGAGGCCATTAGGCCTGTACCGAAATGCAGTTCAGCATCTTAACTCCATTTGCCCTCCTTGACATCAGGCCCCTTAATCAAGCAGCGAAGAAATTCAAGAGAGACCTTTGTTGAATTTTCCACGTTGGACTCATCACGACAAATGCAAGAATGCCAAATTCCAGACAATCACAACAATTTACACCGCAGGAGAAAAGGGCGCTGATTGCCTGGCAATGTACTTTGAGTGGCCTATGGGAATGCAATGCAGAAAGCAATGGGGGACCACTGGGTCCCCAGGCTCTCAGTTAATTCAAAAAGGTACATGGCTTGAACATACTCCTTCTATTTGCAGAGAGTGGGTGTATTTCCTATGTAGAAATATAAGTCACTTTGATCGAACATACATGAAGCACAACTAAAACACAATGTCAGACTTAACATTACAAACTGAACTAATGCCTACTGCTTTTCTAAGAGAGGGAGCTGTACACTTCTATTACAATGGGCTGAAGAGCCTCTTTCCATGTGGTAGCAGTTCTATGACCCTTTGAACAAAAGGGTATTCCCTAACGCACACACATCAAATCAGTGACTGCAGTTCAAACATATTTCATTGGTGGAGAAGAGTTTTGAGGTCTGAGGACATGATAGTCACTACATAAATGCAGATCTTTCTTTTAACCTTTCCCCTTAAAGGCCCGACTCTGCTCCAGCAATTCCTTATAAAACCCAAGAAAAATGGCAATGGTCATATTGCAATCTTTTCTACATTGGCGAGACCAAATGCAGACTAGATGGCCACTTTGTGGTATACCTCTGCTTTAACTACAAGAAGGACCCCAACCTACCAGTTGCTTCCTAGCTTGTATACATTGCTGTCTACCACAAACATTTCTGTCCTGGGCCTGTTGCAGTGTTCCAGCGAAGCCCACTGCAAGCTGGAGGAACAGGCCCCTCATTTTCCACTTAGCTTCAGGACTCAACACAGAGTTCAACAAATTTAGAACACAAGCACTATCCAGCATTTTTCTTACAACATACTTAACAGCAGATCTTGCGGGGGAGGGAATGAGAGAGTAGTTACAAGCAGAGTAAGACCAGAGGACTCACTGTAAACCTTAGGGTCACAGAATCCCTACAGCGTAGAAAGAGGCAATTCGGCCGATCAAGTCCACACTGACCCTCTGAAAAGCTTCCACTCAGACCCACCCAATCCCCATAACACTGCATTTCCCATGGCCTATCCTCCTCGCCTGCACATCCCTGGACACTATGGGGTAATTTCCCATGGCCAATCCACCCTAACCTGCACATCTTTGGACAGTAGGAGGCAAATGAAGCACCCGGAGGAAACCCACGCAGACACGGGGAGAACGTGCAAACTCCACACAGACAGTCTGGTAGATGTTGGTCCATTGTATCTGTGCTTTACTCAGGCTAAGAACACATCACGAGTGAGCTGCGTCACACAGGAATGGAGATATAATGGTTTCAGTCTCCATTCTGGGTGGCGATATTCAGACAGTTTAAATCCTTAAAGAGAGTTCTGATAACTGGTGAAAAGTGCACTGGACTCCTTCCAAAGCCAACACACTCCTACTGAGGTGCCACATCTAGAATTGCAAACAGCACCCAGCTATGACCTACCCACATCTGTAGCAGAAACTGGTTCCTTTAAATACTCCATATGTAAAGGCAAAGGCAAGTGGTTTGAAAAGTCAGTGTACAGCAGCTAGCAGGGCTTCAACTGCTTTATCAATTATAAATTCTCTGCCATTTTTCCAAGCTTTGGCATTAAATAGCAACACTCAGGGTTCTGGCTGAGTGTACGGCAATAAAAACAGAGAATGCTGGAACTAGCAGGTCAGGCTAGTAAAGGCAGAAACAAAGATAACGTCTCAGGCCAAAAAGCTCTCATCAGCTCTGGGGAAATGTTCGAGATGTGACAAGTTGGATGCAAGTGAAAGAGTGGGCGGGGGGTTAGAGAATATAAGTGGAAGGGTCCATGATAGGACCGACGGCTCGTGATTTTAGAACCCCACATCATGAGAAACTTTCATTGCAGACACTACAATACAGCAAAAACCATCACAGGAAAATGTCCAAAAATGTTTAAAAATGCCAACTCAATAATCACAAATACTAAGAAATAACCACAAATACTAAGAAATAACAATGTTTGAACATGTCAAACAAGTAACCAGAAAAGCTTAGAAACAGCCTCAAAGGGGAAACAGAGGATGAATGATCGAGGACAGACCTGCCAGTGATACCTACATACAGAGAATGAAGAAAGAACCATCCTGCCCTTGGCTGGCAGGAAAAGAGAGACGCACTGAGTGTTTTGAGACAGTGAGGAGGAAGAAGTTAGCGCAACGTGACAACACATACCTTGAATGCTAAGCATCTGTCCGATCTTCAGAGCAGCCCCTCGCACCTTGCACAGTGTGTCGACAATGCGTTCTGCATTAGCCTCCGAAAGGAAGGGGCTGGAGTCCAGTAGTCCTTTATTCTCTGTGTTGAAACCAGCAAGGATTAGAATATTATAACAGTGCAGAACAACTGAAACATCTGCCAATTAAGTCTGTCCCAACTCTAACCACCTGCACAGTCAGGAACATGTTGAAAAGTTGAGACCATCAGTCATTATATTCAACGGCCAGAGTAAAGTAAGAACCAGATTTCCACACTGTATACCACAGCAGACTGGCCATTTGAATATCAAACCTCTGCTAGATCTTTGAAGAATTTTCTCATCAGTCCCTTTCTCTGTCTCTCCTTTTCTCTCTGAGTTTCTCCAGCCTGTCTCAGGAATGTTTTCTCAAGAATTTAGAAGGTTAAGGAGTGAGCTAATCAAACTCTTCAAGATTTTGACAAGATAGGGTAGACAATGATAAACTATTTCCATTGGTTGGGGATTCTAGGACTGGAGGCATAGTCTGAGTCCCTATTATAGGAAGGATATCATTAAATTGGAGTGCGTTCAGAAAAGATGTTGCCAGGAATGGAGGTTTTGGGGCATAAAAATAAACTGGAAAGACTGAGACCTTTCTCACTGGAGTGTAGGAGGTTGAGGGGTGACCTTAATGATGTTTATAAAATAATGAGGTGTATAGATAAGGTGAATGTGAAGAGTCTTTTCCCTAGAGGGGGTGGGGGGGGGGGGGGGGGGGGGTGCGGTGTTTAAATCTATGGGGCATATTTTTAAGGTGAGAGGAGAAAGATTTTAAAAGGACATGAGGGGCAACTCTATTTTTTACCCAGGGAGTAGTTCTCGTGTGGAATGAACTGCCAGAGAAAGTAGCGAATGCAGGTACAGTTACAGCATTTAAAAGACATTTGGATAAGTACATGATTAGAAAAGGTTTGGAGGGATATGGGACAAATGCAGTCATGGGGGACTAGTTCAGTTTGGGAACATGGTTGGTGAGGACTAGTTGTACTGTTTCCATACTGCATGACTCTACAATTAGAACCAGACTGCTCAGGAGAGATGTTCAGAAGCACTTTTACACAAAAAGGGTGGTAGGGATTTGGAACTCTCTACCACAAATTGCAGTGAATACTGCATTGGTTGTTAGCTTGAACCTGAGACAGATACATTTTTGTTAAGCAGTCATCCTAAGGGATATCGGCCAATGGTAAGTATATGCAGTTAAGCCACAGATCAGCCATGATCTGTTCCACCCAAGCACCATCCTGAGCGGGAGCAGGGGGAATGACAGAAAGAGAAACAGAGAGAGGGAGAGACAGAGAGAGAAAGTGTGAGAGAGAGAGAGAGAGAGAGACAGAAAGAATGTGTGTGTGAGAGAGAGAAAGAAAGTGCAAGAGAAAGAGTGGGGGGGGAGGGGGAGAGAGAGACAAAGAAAGAAGTTTGAGAAAGAAAAAAGAAAACTTAATCCATTGTCAACTGCATTACGTGAGAGCCATTAGGACAGAGAGTTCAAATGCTGAGATCTCACCTTTTGACATCTGGTTTCCAGTCACTGACTTTTTGGCCACTTCTGCCAACGCACCAATGCCAAGGCTCACCGCCAAACCTGCCAATGGAAGCACAGTCACTCAATCCTCCCCTAAGAACAAGTGCGTTTGGGGGGTTGAGGGAAAAGTCCATATGTCGCACTGCCCTGTGGCTGGAATCCGAAGGGGAGGTTATGGTGTGGTGGTCACACGTCACGGGGCAAGCAAATCCAGAGGGACCAGGCTCATGCCGTGGGGGCACGGGGTCAAATCCCACCAGGTGCAAGGGGCCTTACCTCCAAAGTTCGCCAAGCGGCTGATTCGCGAGGAGGGCACTTTCCTTTCACGAGCACGCTCGCTTATCTGGGAGAGGAAAGAAAATGGAACATAATTCGTCAAAAGCCTCTCCCGCTGGGCACACACCTTTGATCAGACTTGCTCTGTCGCCACCCACTTCCCTCATGAAGGTCAACCAATGGTTTGAGTTCCTCCTTGGGCCAGACTGTCATTAGTGACTGAAACACATTCTAAACGAAGAAGGATGGGGGGCGGGGGAAGCAGGCAAACCCACGTTGTTTGCCTAGCGGGAGAGGCTTTTGACGAATTTTTTGGGCCTTGGGGCGGGTTCCCTTTGGTCTGCTCGGCTTCGTGTTTCTAGCCTTGGCGATGTCCTCGGGTGTCAGGCCCCTCACCGAGGCCTCGTCGTGGAAGCCCCTGGTCAGGCCCAGCCCAGGGGCCGCAGCCGTGAAGAGGAAACTCCTGCCAGCGCCACCACTGGATCCATTTGCTGTCAGGTGGTCCCCGCTCAGCGAGGAACTCCCGGCCCACCAGCTGTCAGCCATCACCCAGCTCCCTGCCCCTATTGCGCTGCCGGAATATTCAGGAGCCATCTCAGAGGCGAGGTTCCATCGAGAGGCCTCGTCTTCTCCGTCAAACGGAGGATGCTCTTTGAATGCCTGCACTCCTCTCTGAAAGACAAGAGCAAAAGGTTACATCAGGTTCCCGACCTCCCGAATACAAATCGTTTTTCCGGGGTCTTTTGCTGTTCAGGGTTGCACCAGTACGAACCGCAAACAAACTGTACCGTCAGATGTCTTCATGAACAATAAAAGTACTTTCTAAAAACTAGCCGCTTCAGTAACGGAGCAAAGTCCGGCCAAGGGGTACACAGCAAGCTCCTGCAAACATGACCCCTTTCCTCACTCATCCTCAGTTATATGGGTTTCACAGTCCTAAGTGCCTTCCACATGCTGGTGGCGGTAACTGCATGACTGGTTAGACCTGTTTCTGGTCTGCAGTCTCATTGGGCCAGACTTCATAACGGGATAGCAGGTTCCCTCCTGAAGGGAGATGGCAAAGTGAATACAAACACAGTACTGCAGATGCCGAAATCAGAAATAAAAAGAGGAAGTGCTGAAAAGAACCCAGCAGGTCTGAAGACGGAACCCAAGTTAACGTTTCAACTGCACTATGTCCCTTCTTCAGGATATTTGTGGGCTAGGAAATGATTGTTTTTACGCTAGTGACTAAAGTGTGGGGAGGGGTGAGTGGAACAGATGGTGAACGCGCTCAGAACATGGGACTGGGGTATCATAGCTAGTACAAAAGCGTGGCTCAGGGACGGACAAGACTGGAGTTTAATGTTCCAGGATATAGATGCCATAGGAAGGGAGGTTTTTTTTGTGTGTGTGTGTGTGTGTGTGTGTGTGT